ATTAAATACAGGAATTATTGAATCTGATGTGTCGTTGATCCGTCTATATATACATCTTTTATCCCAACAACCAATCCAATACCAAAAAAAAAGCAAAAAGCACACCCAACGAAGGACCATGTCCTTTCCTTTTCGCCCAATGGCGCCGTGGCCGTCGTGGTTTCACCGGACATCTCCTCCGCCCCGGGTGCTGCATGGCCTCCTCCAGCGCCTCGCGGCGTTGCGGTTTTGGGCAACGGATCGACTCAGTGTGGCATCCTCTCCTGGTGCTTTTTTGCATGGAAGTATCGAAGTGAACAAACCCCTCTGGTCTTATTTTTTGAGAAAGGAGTCGTTCCAAGTGCAAGACAACACCACTTCCATGTTTGCTTGATCAAAAGGAAATCATCCTTGAGTGCAGAGAGGAGATCAAATGTCTCACATATAGGGAAAAATGTCCGAGTGGTTTCTGCACCAGCTTACTTCGGTTGGACCCCTCAGTCCTTTAGCTTGGACAACTTTGAAAAGCTCCTCTGGCTCAACCAAGTGATTCAATGAGTACTGCGAATGTATTCAAGCTGGGTCCCTGATCGTGATACACGAGCTACATATATCTATCCTTTGATGGATGGGCATCACTATAGATGTTTGTGCTGGCGTCACTGGTGTGCAAACACTGTTGGCAACAACTGTGTATCTGATGAGAACCCAAAATAACTGCAACTGCAACACGTCTTTTAATCCGCAATCGTTGAAGTTGGGCCGTTGGCCGACGCGCAAAAATCAAATTCGCAACAACTTGTTGCCGGTGGCGTGGGTGCGGATGACATTCCCATCACGTCTGCCATCTTTGTAATCACCCTCCTCCTTGTCACCATTGGCGTAGGCATAGACGAAATGCCCATTAAGTTTGCCATCCTTGACATTGCACTCACAGCTATCGCCGTTGGCAAAGGTCCAGGACTCATGCCCATTGTGCTTGCCATCCTTGACATTGCGCTCACACTTATCTCCATTGGCAAAGGTTATGATTTCGTGCCCATTTGGCTTGTTGTCCTTCACATCACTTTCAATCTCATCACCATTGGCAAAGGTCAACTTGGCATGCCCAGTTCCACTCTGGACATCACCCTCAAGCTTATTGCCATTGGCGAAGTTGTGGATGAAATGCTCTCTTCCATCAATGATATCAACCTCAAACTTGTCGCCATTAGCGCCAGAGTAAGTGAAATGATCACCCACAGCTCCATAAACCATGCCTGGACGCAACGCCACCAACGTGCTGACGACCAAGACTGCCAACGGCGCAGCAAGGCCCCGCTTGGACATCCTCCGTCGAGTGCCTCTCAAATCCATGATCACGGAGCTTGATTTGTCGCACCGGACCAGCAAAATCGGGAAAAAGCTGCAAGGATATCATCAAAAGAACGAGTTTTTTGGCCGGCTGTTCAGAACGATGTGTGTCTGTGTGTGTGTGTGTGCGTGTGTTCAAGCTCTACACATCTGGATCTCCTAGTCCCTTGACAATGGAAAAAATAAACAAAGAACCTGGAGGGGCAAGCAACGCCAATTCACACCAGTTAGGTTGCCAACCTTACGGGCCAGCAGAGCGAGCAGCTACTTTGGAAGTGGGACGGATACTCAAGATTTGAGTGCTTCAGACTTGCAGGGCAGGTGATCCTCAACTCCGGGAAATTCAAAGCGGTTTTGGGGGGTCGGAAGAAAGGTCTGTAGTTTGCCAATAGTTCAATCTTGACCAGCGGGTCGCGCGACGCAGTGGGTCCCATTCCCCGGTGCATGGCGTGCACGGCGCGGCGTGCCGCGCGCCGCGGGCACGGTGGTGTGGACCCAAAGGTTGACCAACCTCGGGGAGACATGTAGCATGTGGCCGCGTGCAGACCATCTTCCTGCAAAGAGGAAGTAAGTGTGGTTAACTTGGTTCGAAGAATGTGTAATATCCTTTGGGACTTTGGGATTCTACCAGTTGTTCAATCTTGCTCAAACTGGGCTTCACCGCGAGATGCCCCACCCAAAGGGCTTCAGTACTGTCTGGTAGTGCTTCGCAAACACTTCGCAACACTTCGCAACCCGCCTCATGATGTCCATTGGCCATCGGCACCCGCCCGGCGGTTCGCGGTTCGGGGACCTCAACCAGGAGAGGAATGCTTTGGCGGTTTTGGGTGGTGAGAGAATGACATTCCAGGCGATGAAAGGCGACCCACCAGGGTTAGTATTAAAGCCATTTGTGCCTTCTTAAAGAGTTCAAAGCCATTTGTGGGGTCTTCTTAGTGCGAAATTTGAAGATTCAAATCTGTTGAGATCGGGCACCCGTTGCAACCTGCACACACACAGTGCCCGTTTCAGGCTGGAGTTGCCGTGTTGGGGTAGCTGGATGTAGCGCGCTGCTCCAGTTCGTGAGTTCTGAAGTGTCCTGTGAACATTCTATATGTGAAATACCTTTTGCAGGGGCATGAATTATATACAGAGATGCAATAGGCTGTTCAAGTACAGTTTCGATAAACACCTGAACAGACTAGACACCTATCGCCTATCGCATAAAAGAAAAGTCCCTGAAGATTCAGATGAAAATATTCGTCCGCCGCTTCCACCCCTCTGGCCTCTTCTGCTGGACACGAGGCATCCATCTGCGGCTCCTGAGAAGATCCAGCAGAGTGAAAGGGATGAATTGGCTGCAGTAGTAGTAACAAGAAGCTACTAGGAACAAGTGCATCGCTACTAGTAACAAGTGCCTTACTAGTAGTAACAAGAAGCAGCTCAAAACCGGAGAAGCCTGGTTGACCGATCGATACTTGCGTCTTCGAGTTCAGCACCCGATGGCCCGGTGTTGGTATCCAAGTCGATACACCCATTCGAGATCCCAAGGTTTAAAAGGACAAAGAGGACACAACACCGAACACCAAAAGTACCGAACCCCAAAAAGGAACCCAAGAACCGACGACCAGGCAGGTCACCCAGGTGAAACGGGAGGGGCTCCAGGTCTTGACTCACAGCCAATTAGATCCTTTTCCCAGGGATGCAGTGACCACAAGTGTCGGGTACTCGGACCAGGAAGTGCTTCAGCCGGGTCATTCTTGGCGGTTGGGTGGCAGTCCGCAGGATAGACAGAGCTCTGGGTGCCCAGAGCAATTGCTTCCCCCCCAAAAGGTAATGTAGACTCTTGATCAATAAACCCACCCCTATGAAGACGTTTCTCAATCCTAGTGGGGGGTTAATTGCTAATCAAGAGTTTACAATAAACTCACCTGGTGGAAAGACGTGGAAGCTAATGTTCCAAAGTGGTTCTTCCCCACGTATGTCACGTGCGTCACATGCCCCCTGTTTTTGGGCACCACGTAGGCGCTTGACCGATTGCTTCTCATCGAGTCAGGTGAGACGGGCCGCAGTTCTGATCGGACCTCTTGGGATGGGACGCCGTTTCGTTTCGCCTCGTCTCAAAGAAGTGTTCATCGGTCGCTGCGAAGCGCAGTGGAAAACGCGGCAAGAAACGGTTGCTTGGCATGTCTCAAAAACTGCTTTTCATCTTCGAAAGGGTGGAACTGATGGGGGTCCTCACATTCCGCACATTGGCACACATCCAAATCTGGCCCCCTCATATTATACGGAATCAGTCAGTCTGCTTCACAAGGTGAGAGGATTGCGCTTGCACTTTCCGTATGCATGGATCTCCAAATGCCCGAGTTTTTGGAGGTCTTTGTTGTAATGCAGTCGATGTCTTCCACCAACGGCTGGATCCTCCTATCAGATCGCTTTGATCCATCACCAGCTCCTAGTGCCTTCCCTCACCTCATGCCATTCTCCCCTGAAGTGGCGCTGTTTTCAGCCCAACCCAACCAATCTCTGTTTTTCTGACACCGATCCAAAACTCAAAAGGGTCCAGTCATGAGATGACCAAACAACCCCGTAGGCCCGTTGGTGTTGATCTTTGATCCCCTTCTGAGTTCTCCATCACCTCGAACGAAGGAAACTCGAAAGAGAACGAGGAAACCGCGACCCCCTTGGGAGGTCCAATCAGCGGCAGGCCAACTGCCTATGGCAGTCGCAAGTAAATGCCAGCGAGCCAGCGCCTTCTGTCTGGAGGGAAGGATGCATCATGATATATCATGGATACATAAATGGCTAAGTTATGTGACTCACCGGGAAAAGTTAGACTCTTCTTCAAGTGCGTTGATCTTCGATTTAGCTGTGGAACATAGGTGTAGAATAGTCTGATCGTTTTCTCCTGGAGACCATGCAGGGGTGAAAGAGCGACGTACCCACGATTCAACTGGGTGTGGGTGGAACATTTGAAAATGAGGCCCCCTAAACCGTTGCCCCAGGGCACCTTTAGTAGTTAGGTCCTACTCACGGCTCATGTTCTTCCTCAGGTGATCATGCAAACAACCAGCTAGAGGTATGCAGGCCAGTGAATGTTATCTTTCCCTCCGGTGGCTCGCGCTTCTTTTTTCATCACTCGACCGGGAACCGCAGCGGAAAACAGTTGCTCACTGAGATTTCAGTCGTTGGCCCCATGTTTCTCCGGTCGTCCGCCAGGTGGAAAAAACAAGCATAACAAAACTAGACAAATCACAAATCATAGTATGCCAAGAGATTCTTGTTTACAAAAAACAATATTGCTAAACCAACAACTGCCTCTGAATCAGAAGGATCATAGCCCCTTCCTGTGGAAAGCCCCTCTTCTCTTCCGTGAGGAGACCCAAACTGAACACCCTATTCAGTCAGTGAGAACTCCACCCACATTGACCGGTATTTCATTGCCAAAATAACCTTCTCCCGTCCCGTCTATATTTGGGCCTTACTCCATCAACTTGCAAGAGGTTCATCAATCCAAGCTCATCCATATGACCTTCCAGTTTCCACGGGAGCGGCGAAACAAAATCAGCGTAAACCCCAGTCATAATGTTGTAGAAGGGAAATCAATTGTCCATTCGGATGTCCTTTTGCTTTTGGCCGTAGCCGGAGCTTTCCACTGTCATCGTTCCTCTTCAGTCTGACCCTCGGTTTTACTGGCCAGGACTCATGTAGTTGTTCCGCCTTCGGTAGAAGCCTCAGTTTTGCCACAGAAAGAGAATTTGGACCGGTCCCACTCCGAAGAAAATGTCACGAGAAAAGCTGTGTTGAAATAGCAATTCCCAAAGGGCTGACATAGAACCTGACCCCCAAATTCCATTTTCTATATAATCAGGTCGAAGTTACCTTTTTCCACTGGATATCCAGGCATGTGCAGCAGGAAAAGCTTCAAAAGTCTGGCTATAGTGCACCAAAATTGACATAAGTGGACAGGCAAACAGCAAACCCTCATTTAATGACTTAGAAAATACTAGAAGTAAACCTTGCATGTCATATCTATCTGATTTTGCATGACATGGTGATAGCTGTATGCTGAGGGTCCCTTTTTCTCTAACTTCTTGCCATCCGGGAACACTCATGATCCGGCGGCAGCAAGTCGTCGCTGCGGCCCAGCTCCAGCATGGCAATATCTCAGCCGCTGGGATGGATGAGGCTTTCGCAAGGATTCTTGCTACTAGTAGCGATGCCGTTACTAGTAGCGATACACTTGTTACTAGTAGTCATTGTTTCAGAAGAGAAGGATTTGAAGGTGGCAGTCATTGTGGCTGGGGTGCCATCTCAGGTCTGTAGGCTGGAAGCAACGGTCCTTGGAAGAGTCATGTGACGCAAAAACAAAGGGCATCGCTATTAATTAGTAGCAAGGACGCTACTAGGGGCTCCTGGCCTTACTACTACGAGCATTCTTGCTACTAGTAACAAGAGTCTCAGGGGAATAGAATCCATTCACCTCTCGGTCGCATTACCGGACTTGTGGTCGCGCTCTTCCCGGACCATATTTCGATCAATCAGAAAAGTTACTAATGGACGAGCTCCTGTACCAACATGCACCAACTAGAGTTCAACAGTCTGACTGAAATTCAGTGGATGCTAATGGAAATAATAAGTCCTTCTTTTCTATGTTTTCTGTGGAAGAAGAATGTTCATAGGCACTGGAAGGAGGTATCGCCTGAAATCTCGAACAGTGGCGCCACTTTTCAGATGATGATCTCTTTTCATCCCAATCTGCAAACACACCCACCAGACTCACCACACATCTTCACCCCGAAAAAACGGCCCAAACCCGCGACCGCTCGCGGATCCAAGCTCGCGTGTCGCGCTACGCTCGCGTCGCGTTTCGCCGAGCGGCTCATCAAGGGCGTGGAGTTGGTTCGCTTGGGCGCGAACTCCGAGACGTAACCTGTGGGGAGACGACGCAAACGACGGACCCGGGGGGGCACCGCCTCCGGTGGGGACGACCAAGTCAGAACTGACAGGCGAAGCGGATGTGTGTGAGGCAAATCCGATCTTACAACCTCCAATCCAACTACCATGTAACTTGTCCCAATGTTGGGGAAGTTACAGTATATAACTTACAGGGGATTTCGAGGGGGTGGACAACGGAATGCAGATATGGAGGGCTGGGGTTAGAACCGAGTGACCCTGCGATACACCAATTTAATTGTTTTGTTTCGTACGCAGGTCTTAGGTTGATAGACCCCTCCCTTTAGGCCTTTAGGCCTGAACAGGGGACACTTGTATGGGGGTCCCCTCATTTGGGCGGTTTTCCAATCAGCCGCCTAACATGGACTTCTTGGGCATTGGCTCATGCCCAAATCTCACAGACGCAACATGTAAGCTCACATATATCTGAAAATCCTTCAACTTCTACGAGACAGATCCCAGAATTTGGGGACAAACTCATTCTGAGACAAGCCCCTAGATCCTCTAGGCTCCAGAATTGTGATCGTGTCCTTCTATTTGGGAAAATCTGACGGGCTTCCCTCGACTCTTCCCTGTCATCGCTGCAGCTGAGGAACTGCTCTTCCTCAGGCATCATGGGGAAACAGCAACGTCTGAAAAATTAAAACTTTTGGATGCTTTTGGAGAGATTGGCTTCTCTTCCCTCCCTACCAGCCCTAAAAATCGCTGGCTTAAGCTAGACACCCGTGCAATGGCGTCAATAATTCACTTGGAGATGTCCTGAAATTGGTGAACTTCGGTCACACATTATTCGGGTCCAAGTCAGGAACCTGGAAGATATAATCCGCAGGATGGGACACTATGGATCTTAACCTTCCAATGAACAGCTGACAGCAATAAGGTTTCACATTGAGCTACAACTTCACAGCTGGTCACCCAAACTTCCCCAGTACCACGAGAGTTCTGAGTTTGACCATTTTCCCCAGAACCACCGGATATGTTTTACACTCCAAGATTTCAAGAAACATGGAATGGTTCTCTCAACGTTTTCTCAACCACTGCAGCTTTCGACATGTCTCGGGTTTCAAACGCCCCCCTGAGCTCCGTGTCGATCCCACTCAGGGTCGATGAATTCTGCCTTTTTCGCACGAACGAAGGACCGCGTCGTTTTTCTGCGGTGCCAAGTGGCTCTGGAGGACCTTCCCACTTGGAGATGAAGCCAAGATTTGGCTTGGGAAGCAGGATGGTCCCTGGCACAGCGACTGGTCATCCCCAGAACTCCAAGAGGTTTCAACCGTGTTTAAGGTAGTTTAAGGGGAGAACATCATTACTGAGATCATCCAGGTTGCATGTTCCATTCCTCCCGCAGCTGGGAATCACTTTGCATCTTGGATAGTTTTGCTCTGAACTCAAAAATCATGGTGCCTGCTTTGGCCAGGTCTTGCGGATGCGCGTGGAAGCTGACCTCGATTCACAGATGAGAGCGGTGGGAATCAGCCCTTGAAGATGAGGAATGTAAGCCCTTCAAGATCGGCTGCAAATTCCTGACAGGTACAGAAGTGTGCCGGAGGATACTGAATGGTTACGATGGCAACTTTCAGGAAGGTGGGACAAAGGACGTGCAGATCATCTGACCTAGGGGGATGATGCTCTGAGTACAGACGGACGGTTCTAAAGGAGCCAACGTTGTGATCATTGGAAGCCCTTGGGACGCGTTTGTTGAAGGTCTGCTACGTGCTGCATAATTGGGAATACGCCCCAGGTCAAGGTTTGCAAGTAGAAGTGAACTGCGCAAAAATGGTTTCTTGTTGCAAACAATCTTTACCGCTGCAATACAATGGAGCACTGGCGTTTTTGGGGTTAATTACAAGTAGAAGTGAAGCCCCAAAGACAGCATCATCTCACATCTCCTTCTCACGTGGTTTCTCTATCACTGTTCCGGCATGGTTAGCATGCCCAACACTGCAAATCCTCTCGCAACCGAGCGGCGTGTGATAGGGGACGAGTCTCTAGGAGGTCAGTCATCCCTGGCTACAAGGGGAAACGAGGCGCTGGAGGCCACCGCGTTAATGGCAAAGATCCAAAATATGAACAGATTCTCACTATGAATTGTCCGAACCATTTCAATATAAATAGTAAATAGATAGTTAAAACACAACACTCCGGAAACTAAAGTAAAACTATGAATATGATTTTATCCTGATAAGGCAGTGGCAAATATCATGCAGTAACTAGGAACGTTTAAGCCGTGCCGCTGTGGACAAGTCAGACTCTCAAACTATTGTAGTCTTCCTCCAAAGCGTGGAACTCACCACTCAAGGCGATTCTTAACAATTAGCTTGTACAGAGTGAAGACACATTCTTCCTGGCTCTATTTACCCCTCTCTCTCTCTCTCTTTCTCCCCCTCTCGTGCCACTTGTGGGCACGAGCTTTTGCTATCACTCAAGCCCAGCAGTAAATGCCAACGATGTCACAGCTTTCTCTCCTCTCGCTTCGCCTGGCCATCTTCCACGCCCTGCCGCCGCGCCTGTGATGGTGCGGGTCCGGCCGCTTTTGGGCTTGGCGCTCTTCATCTTCGCGGATTTCAAGCGATCCCCCCGGTAGCCTCAGCGCTCGTGGTGTCTTTGTCAGACGAAGAGATGAAACGCTGCCCAGAGAGCGCGCATCGAATTTGCAGCTAAGAGTCCTGTGAAGGCATCCTGAGAACTGGGACTGGGATGGGCCAAGCATGGTGGGTCGCTTTGTCAAATCCACTAAACGCCGTTAGGACGGCTCCAACATGCTGTCGTCAGCAGGTTCCGAACGGGCGTTCTACAGGAAACGAACTGTGACATCTTTGTCCATCAACTGGGAGATATAATCAATTGGTGAGGACTCCGGCTTGACCAACCACCAGAAATCACCAAAAATCAGCGCCCATCACGGGAAAACTACGAAACACAGTCATGCATCCATCCCAAAAAAGAGCTCTTGCCCTGGCAACGGCCAGTGCGGAAACACCCACAGGCGAGTGAAGGGCCACCGCGCCTGATAGGAGGTGTTCCCATTGATCTCCGCTTCGCTGGTGGCGGCGCCGCCCTTCCAGCCGGCCTTGAAGCTGGCCGCCAGCATGGCGTTCACCTCGCGTTTGACGCGGCGAAACGGTGCCGCAACTCCGGTGGCGGCGCATGGGATCTGTGGGGGCCACGAGCCTGGTTTTGTTGGAGGGTTCTTGCAGAATTGGCGCTTGTGGTGGGGTGGTTGGCCGAAAACCAAAAAAGGCCTTGGAATCGTTTCGAGGGACCGTTGGTCGCAGCGATCTAGCGGATCTACCAGTAGCAGGGGTTCGTTGTTCTCCAGGAGCTTTAAACAATATTATGTATACAGCAGATCGAACCCCACCAAGTAAAAACTGAACAAACATGAACAAACTGAACAGCAGTACAACATGACTTATGAGCGGCACCCCGCCCACGTTCCACCCCCTTTCCCACTGTTGGCTGTCCCATGCCTTGTTGTCCCCGAGCGGATGCGGGGTGAACTCTCGGCGCGAGCTGACAGCACTCCAATCCAACAGAGGAGCCTCAGGTGCCGCCAGGCACAAACAAGAAGGTACCAAACCCGAGGAATAGAGCTGTTCAACTGGGGCAAGGAGCCTTTGCACGTGATGCCTTTTTTTAATGGAGATCAAACTCCATTGCGATTCACGAGAACCTGCCCTGCAGAAGCAGAAGAAACACTCAACACTCGGTAAGTGCGGCAGAGTGGCGGTGCTCTTCTGGAATTTCATGTAGGGCGACTCCTCAAGGGACTCATCCAACAAGAATGCTACTAGGGGCTCCTGGCCTTACTACTAGAAACAAGAAGCTACTAGTTACTAGGGGCTCCTGGCCTTACTACTCACACTGCTTGCGGTCTGTCCATGCCGCTTCCCATGACCCTTCGTCAAGGTGACGGGTGTCAGGGAGTCTGGTCAGTATCTTGTTGTAAGATATGAGCACTACTGTACAAAGTGAACCAAAACGGATCGACTACCTATGTGAGACCGAATATCCGCGCTTGCTGAAAGACCTGTGTGGCCACGGGCCTCAAGATAAGTAAATTCCTAATTGGGTGCAGCTGGAATAGGCACGGACGAAAGATCACCATGCTTGTTCCAGACTTTACGAAGATTCCTGCGGTATAGGAAAGCCTGATCGAATGTCAGTGGGGCGGCGACATCTGTTGTGAAGATCGGTGAGACGTGTCCCATGGGTACCAAACCATCCGGGTGATAAGGTGGTTTGCAATGCAGATCAGTGGTATACTGAAGTAGAGTCTTCTGGACAGCTTTAGGATTTGGTAATTCAGGTCGGAGAGGGAAACCTCCAGTATACTGACGACCCCAGCCAATCTGGGCAAGGCTGCGAGAGCCCTGCTTGGAGTAGTGCGGAATGAGTGGTGTACTGGTATAGCCCTGGAGATAGAGCACGATTGTCCTGAATGCTTCGGCCTGTTCACGAAGGGAACGCTTATGGATTGGGAGAGCCAGTACTCTCGCATCTTGCCAATGGATTGGTTGTGCACGTTGATTGTCCGCCAACCGAAGCCAGGTGGGGAATTGGATTCCCGTATTGACTATGATTGCAAGGGCCAATTCATGCCAGGTAATACCTGCAAGAAGATGAGGATCTGTGTGATCAATGTCTGATTTAGGCCATTTTAGCGCAGCGCAAAACTGAAGGACCAAGTCTGCATATTGGTTGCCCCAGACACAGGCAGTAAGGAATGCAGGGTGAATATCTGGCTGAAATACTTGAAAAGGAGGCGAAACAGTGTAGCTTTCCCTAAGCCGTAGCAAAGTACTCCAATCAGAACTGTCATCATGATGACTTTGGGCACCATGTAGGTGTGGTTCTCGCTGTTTGACCTGAACATGGGATCGATTGAGGTCAGCAAGGTATTTAAGGATGCATTTGGTTTGTCGATATTGGTCTTCATGCCATACGGTAGCACGTTGAACTATTTTGTCAACGACTTCATGATCTGTAAGTCTGGCGCGCACTGCTGCGTGGTCAGCCCAAAAATTGCCTAGAGCATCATCTCTTTCAGGTCCCGGAGGCAAATTTTCGATGGTTTGATGTGATCGCACTTTACGAAGCAAGAATTGTGAGTGGACCCAACTCTTTGCGATCAGGTTCAAAAGGTCCGCATTGGCAAGGTGGTGCCATGACGGAGTACCAGTAAGCTGCGTTACCTGTTGGATGGCATTAATGGCATACTGAGAATCAGTAGTAATGATGACTTGGTGGGGCCACTGATGGCTGGAGGCATGCTGTACAATCCAAGCAATGGCAGCTAGTTCAGCCCGAGCGATTGATTGGGTACCTTGAACATGTTGAATTTTGACGGTTAAGAACGGGGTGGTGTCAGAGTCCGGCCGAAACTGGACAACGGACCATGCTGCTCGCCTGGTCTCGGTCTGCAGAGGGGTATCGGCTGAGCCATCAGTATAGAAAAAGAGGACATTGTCCTGGAGATAGATCGGGGTGTGTTCCGTGGGATGTCCCCGATATGCAAACAATTGACGCAAGGTTGCGATATCTGGAAATGACACTGGAAGGGGCATCCACAACTTATGTGGAGAGCTGGTCAGGTAGGTAATTGCCTGTGGGTGATGCTGCCTGACATGGTGAAATGCCGGGCAATGCAGTTGTTGATGTTCATGGGTATCGGGCTGACCACAAAAGGAACAGTTAGGGCTCTCAGTAGACGTCCACAGTGCTTTAACTGCCCCCACCTGGTAACCTGCTGTAAGGTTATAGGCGACCTGGCGGATATCAGTTCGAGACATGGACCGAAGGACCCGGGATAGGATTTTAAAGTCAAAAGGGACTGATGGTACTCCCTTACGATGACAAATTTGTCGGTGGAGATAATATGTCCATGCTTGTCGAAGGGTCTGACGGATCTGCTTGAGGGCATCATGCCGGATAGATACTGAGAGATAGCCATCAAGGGTGAGACGCCCGTCAAGAGTCAAGGACCACCCAACTAAATTTAAATAGCGTGCTAGCGCTCCGGCGGGGCCCACGGCTGGTCCGGTATGATTGATGACAGCCTGCAAGTAATCTTGCGCCATTAACGAGTTGGAATGAAACAGGCGGCGCAGGAAGGTCAGCGCAGTGGATATGACATAGAGCAGAGGGTCTTGAAGTTGGGGGCTGAAAGCATGGACCGCTAGCCAACTGGAGATCTGAGATTCGGGTCCAATAAGCGCAGTGGCTGCTTCACGGCGAAGTGTGCGGAAGTGCTTCTCGCCCACAACCTGATGTTCTGCTCCAAAGAATGCATGTGGCCACACGGCGGTTTGAATAAAGCGCGCCTTCTGAAGGATATCTGTGCGAAAAAAACGAATACGTTTGCACCGTTGAATTGCACTATTGATCTTGGTCTTGAGGTGCCCTAAAGTGATGTGATTGATATAGTGTGTCATGCATCCTAAATCCTTAGTGGAGTTGAGGATGGAGACTTGATTCAGGTGATGGGATTCTAGCTGGAAGAAATGCTTCCACTCTTCCCGTGCGTCAGTTGTGGCCCCCCATGCCCAGGACTTTGCAAAATCAATTTGCATGCGCAGAGCTTCAACCAAGTGCTGAATTTTCCGAAAAGCAACGATGTTATCACGCTGACTTGTAGTAAGATATGACCAATTATCAGCGTATGCATATGGATAAACACTGGGAGATTGGAGTGTCCAGTAAAACGCGGATGACACAACCAGCATGGCGCAAACAGATAGACTGTCACCTTCAGGAACCCCGGTGGTCATGGTAATCGTTGGTCCTACTGCCTTATTTACCTGGAGTCGCCTTGTCATTTTTTTGAGATTAGTAAACCAAAAGCGAACTGAATCCGGCGGCGCTCCATGATACACAAAGAGATGATATAAGACTCTTCTTGGCAACAGGTTAAATGCTTTGACAAGATCTAATGTGAATCCTCGCCAGGGTAGTGATCTTTTCTTGGCGGATTCTATTTGAAACTGTTGTTGGAACGTAATGTCTTGTACGCCACGTAGGGGCAACCCCCCGGATATTGCACTAGGCCAGGCGGATGCCCAGTGGCGTAAAAGTTGATCCGCAATCAGCTTGGATGTAAGGCGACTCACGTAGCCCAGGATGGTAATTGGGCGCCCGTCCGTAATGGCTGTGGGCGGATTGCGTTTGGCCAACAGAATCACTCTGGCTATTAGCTGGTGTGTAGAGAGCCCGAGGGGCCACAGGGTGCTAAGAACTTTAGCTAGGTCTACCACAGCGGCATGCGGAAGTGACTGGAGCTCCTCAGCTCTCCAACCATCAACACCCACTGCTTTAAAAGGCTTAAGGCGACGAATAGTATTTGCCAAAATCCCAGGATCATCCCAAGTAACCTGTAAAGGGGCACAGGGTGGGATACGATCACACAATGACTGAAGTAGGTCGGTCCACGGGTGGTCTGAGTCTTCTTCCATGGATGTATCACGGTTCCAATATTGTGACCAATACTCCGCAAAAGGGCCGGCTATTTCTGCAACCTCAAATGCATATACTTCCTGAATGATCTCGCCATGAGGCGGGACGACACCTTGCAAGACTTGACAAGAGAGGTGATTATCATGCTGTTCCATGATACGGAGAGTGGCGGCACCAAATCGAGCAGCTGCGAATAACCGGAACCGCACTGGTTGATGTATCATCAATGAAACTGGACCTTTGGAGGTTCGGCGGACTGTCGCTTGAGCACACTTGTGCACTGGAAACCCTGGCAAGACTCGAACTTCATTGGCTTTAAGACGTTTATAGTACTCTGACCCGGAGCGGTGCTGTATGTCTAATTCAAGACCATGTTTCATTGACTGTCGACGAAGCTTGGCTTCCTGAGTACAATAGAGGTCTGCATCATACTGTGTGATCTGTCGAACGCAGTAAAGTAAGTCAAAAGATGGAAGGTCAACGGTGACACATGTGATGGCGTCGAACTGCAGGAGCCAATGAACCCAAGAGTGACCGTAACCATTTGCCCTGCGGATTGCTTGCCATAAAAGAAGCAAATCTGGATACGATGGCAGAAATTGCCAGTGGTCACAGAGGAAATCTTCAAGGCGGTATTTTCTATAAAGTCTCTCTAAACACCGTAAGCGACGGACCTGGCGGACTTTCTGACGGCTTTTGACTGAAGTAACCTCAATGGGAGGTTCGTAAAGACTGGTGCTGTCTTTGCGCGGTGCACGAGATGGCAGAAGTCGGAGTGGTTTAGGACTTTTACAGCGGCCTCTAAAGTTCTTAGGCAGTGAACCCTGTGAGTAAACAAATGGATCCTTCGCCTGTTGCTGGCAGAGTGTACGATCGACCGCTTTTTCGACACAGGAAGACCATTGGATCAACTGTTGAACAGGGTCACGGCTAGTGTGAAAATGTGAGAATATGCGTGCTTTGGAATACTGCTCTTCAAAAATGTCATGTTGTACGGGGAACAATGTCCAGGATTTGGGCACATACCATGCAAAAGTATCGGAGGTGTTTGTCGGAATAGAAAGTTGAACTTGAGCAACGCAATGGTCTGCAAATTGATGTTCAGGACCAATGTCGATACGCTGTATATATTTTGTCAGATATGGATGAACTATCATGGAGTCAAACCTTGTCGCTCCTTTGCATGTTGGTGGCAGTTCAAAGCCAAAAGCTCGACGGTTGAAGTCAAACATTTCATGACATCCCAATTGAGAGAAGGTTGTATATGCATCAAGCTTACGAACATCCATATTGAAGT